TTTTTTAATGATCGCCATTCTAACTGGCATGACATGGTATCTCAATGTGGTTTTGATTTGCATTTCTGTAATGAACAGTGATGATGAGCTTTTTTTTTCATGTTTTTTGGCTGCATAATAAATGTCTTCTTTTTTTTTTTTTCTTTTTAGAGATGGGGTGTCACCATTTTGGCCAAGCTGGTCTCAAACTCCTGACCTCAGGCAATCTGCCCATCTTGGCCTCCCAAGGTGCTGGGATTACAGGTGTGAGCCACCATGCCCAGCTTGCATAAATGTCTTCTTTTGAAAAGTGTCTGTTCATACCCTTTCCCCACTTTTTGATGGGGTTTGTTTTTTCTCTTGTAAATTTGTTTAAGTTCTTTGTAGATTCTGGTTATTAGCTCTTTGTCAGATGAATAGATTGCAAAAATTTTTTCCCATTCCTTTGGTTGCTGGTTCACTCTATTGAGAGTTTCTTTTGCTGTGCAGAAGATCTTAAGTTTAATTAGATCCTATTTGTCTATTTTGGCTTTTGTTGTCATTGCTTTTGATGTTTTAGTCATGAAGTCCTTGCCTATCCTATGTCCTGAATGCTATTGAGTAGGTTTTGTTCTAGGGTTTTTATGATGTTAGGTCTTATAGTTAAATCTTTAATCCATCTGGAGTTCATTTTTGTATAAGGTGTAAGGAAGGAATCTAGTTTCAGCTTTCTGCATATGACTAGCCAGTTTTCCCAACACCATTTATTTAGACCTTTGTTTCTTCCTCAGACTCCTACTATAACTTTTTTGACTGAGGCGGGGTGGATAACCTGAGGTCAGGAGTTCAAGATCAGCCTGGCCAACATGGTGAAACCCCATCTCTCCTGAAAATACAAAAATTAGCTGGGCGTTGTGACAGGAACCTGTAATCTCAGCTACTCAGGAGGCTGAGGCAGGAGAATCGCTTGAACCAGGGAGGCAGAGGTTGTGGCGAGCCAAGATAGGCCATTGCCCTCCCGCCTGGGCGACAGAGTGAGACTCTGTCTCAAAAAAATAAATAGGCCAGGCGCGGTTGCACACACCGGTAATCTTAGCACTTTGGGAGGCCAAGGTGGGTGAATCACGAGGTCGAGAGATCGAGACCATTCTGACCAACATGGTGAAACCCCGTCTCTACTACAAATACAAAAATTAGCTGGGCGTGGTGGTGCCTGCCTGTAGTCCCAGCTACTCAGGAGGCTGCGGCAGGAGAATCACTTGAGCCCGGGAGGTAGAGGTTGCGGTAAGGCAAGATCACACCACTGCACTCCAGCCCCATAACAGAGTGAAACTCCATCTCCAAAAACAAACAAACAAAAAAATCACCAGGCTTTTTTTGGAGGCACCCCCTTATCTGGACCTAGGAAATTATTAACTGAAAGTCTGACACCTGTGAAGGGCTGACAGAGCAACTTAACACAGTCATGCCTATTCTTTCTCAGAGCTGTTTATCTATCAAGTTTCATCAGCATAACTAGACCACCTTTGTCCCAGCCCCTTCTTTCTCTCTCCCTCCCGTAACCATGTTCCAAGCCCCTATTCTGTGGTAACCTCAAGATGGTATAAAAGCATCAAACAAAGCCGGGCATGGTGGCTCACCCCTATAATCCCAGCTCTTTGGGAGGCTGAGGCGGGTGGATCACGAGGTCAACAGATCGAGACCATCCTGGTCAACATGGTGAAACCCCGTCTCTACTAAAAATACAAAAATTAGCTGGGCATGGTGGCACATGCCTGTAGTCCCAGCTACTCGGGAGGCTGAGGCAGGAGAATTGCTTGAACCCAGGAGGCGGAGGTTGCAGTGAGCCGAGATCGTGCCATTGCACTTCAGTCTGGGTAACAACAGTGAAACTCCGTCTCAAAAAAAAAAAAAAAAGCATCAAGCACTGGCCCTTTCTTTCAGTTTTCACATTTGGCATGACTCCCGTGCCCGTATGCACATTAATACATTTGTAGTCCTTTCCCCCTTGTTAATCTACTAGCAGTTTGTTTCATAGACTCAAGTGATCAAACCTTTAGGGGAAAAAAATCAAATTCAAATTTCCTTACAGTGATCACACAGCTGGCTAGTGGCAGAGCTGAATTTCAAATCCAGCTCTCTGTAAGGGCCAGTTTCCACTGCACCACAATGCAACTTATAAAGTGCTCTGTGCATATTTATTCAAGGTACTGTTGTTATTATTAAACTTGTTTGACTTGAAGTAGGTTTACAAACAAAAATCAGCATAAACAACCTAGTTCATTACATTTGAAAATGTAGCTTCAATATGAGATCATAAAATAGAGAAGGTTCATTTGCATTTCTTTGTTTTCCAACTTAATTTCAGCGGAAAAGAGTAATTCGTTTAGAATGTACAAATGGTATTAACAACACTCACAATCTCTACTGCAGTAAGGACTCTGGTTAACAGCTATAAAGTGGAAGGGACCCAAGTAAGTTTGCCAAAAGGAGGAATATGGAAATTCTGCCCACAGCCAGAACAATGAACATAGATTTGCCAAAACAAAGAACAGTGAAGCAAGGAAAGGCAGTTTGCTCAGCCCTTATTATACTATTTTACGACTTTTTTTTTTCAGTTGCTAGTTTTCTATTCACTTGAACAAAGAAAAAGATTAAACAAAAAATTCAACATTTTGCAAATTTATATTATCCTTTAGTAGAAGGAAAAACACTGTTAACGGTAAATTATAATGTTCAAAGTCCAAACCGGGAAAACAGTCTCCAGTCAGATTGAACAGCAAAGCCTTCTATTCCAAAAAGAATCTTCAAAACGCCCACTGTTTCTGTTTTGTACTACGTTGAAGTTTTAATGCTAATAATTATTAAATTTAAATGGAGGTATCTTTAGGTTGTTACTGCACTAAACTAATCAATGTACTTTGACTCACATAGCACATTTTGGCTTCCAGATTGGTCTGTGGATATCATGTTACTACATCTGGACAGCTGAGCAACAACATCAATAACCAGAAAGGAGGGTAAATTTAAGCCTCGAATTTTACGAACAAGGCTGAAACAACAGGCCTTGAGAATACAGCCATGAAATAATGCCCAAAGCACTCTTTATACATTGCACAGGTTGCACACTTTTCTCCCTGGCTCACAGACGGGCAGTGGTGAACACTGCTTTTCAGATACAAAGATATAGGTAATAAGGACCACCTAAGTACTTTCAAAACTTTTTTTGTTTATTTTTTGAAGCAAAGTCTTGCCAGGGTGGAGTGCAATGGTGCCATCTCAGCTCACTGCAACTTCTTCCTCCCAGGTTCAAGCAATTCTCCTGCCTCAGCCTCCTGAATAGCTGGGATTACAGGTGTAGGTCACCATGCCTGGCTAATTTTTATATTTTTAGTAAAGACGAGGTTTCACCATGTTGGCCAGGCTGGTCTTGAATTCCTGACCTCAGGTGATCCATCCACCTCAGCCTCCCAAAGTGCTAGGATTACAGGTGTGAGCCACCACTACAGGCCTCAAAACTTTTGAATGCAAATGCACATGTTTTTAAGGACTACCCAAATCCTTTCAAAAGTGGTTCTCGAAAACATATTGTGCACTTGCATCCATAATATGCTATTTCTTTCTTCCTGCTAAGCCAAAAGCTGTACAAGCCAATGTGGTATCGCACAGGGCTTCATCATACTATAGTCAGTCTTCAAAGGACATTAAGTAGGCTTCCGCTCCTGATCTGTGCACCCGCACGCGCGCACACACACACAGACACACACACACACACACACGTGTATCCGTGAACAAAATTCAAGACAAACAGTGAAGGCTGGGAGCAGTGGCTCATTCCTTTAACCCCAGCACTTTGGGAGGCTGAGGCGGGTGGATCAATTGAGGTCAGGAGACCAGCCTGGCCGGCATGGTGAAACCACATCTCTACTCCAAATACAAAAACTATCTGGTTGTGGTGACACACGCCTGTAATACCAGCTACTAGGGAGCCTGAGGCAGGAGAATCACTTGAGCCGGGGAGGCAAAGGTTGCAGTGAGCCGAGATCGCGCCACTGCACTCCAGCCTGGGCAACAGAGCCACACTATGTCTCAGGAAAAAAAAAAGAAAAAAAGCAAACAGAGAACACAACATTAAGGATGTGCCAAATTTATATCCGGACTTTGTTTTTAAACGCTTCTTAGAAACGACAGGGCTTTGCACCAACTGCGAGTTTTAGCTAAATACTGCTCGGTTTCGAGAAAGTTATTTTACTCTGTAATTTCTGCGGGTTTGGAGAGACGGGGAGTAAAGCAGGTAGTCTGCCACCTCCTGTCACGCTGTGGCTGGGTAGTGAAGGATTGCATTCAGGGGCTTGCGGCTAACGTCCAAGCCCCACCCTAGCAGGTTGTTAAACTCTAACGACTGTGGAAAGTCACTCGGAAGCTCCAGTTTGACTTGCTCTTTGAGAGGCTGGGTGTCTGTTTTGGGAAAGGGTAGCAGGGGTGGGGGTGGAAGGACACTTGGCACAAATCCTTGTTTGCTTAAGACGAGTCTCTGTGGGCATTCTGGGAACACGTGCACAGCTGCAGCAAAACAAAACGGACCCAGGTTTCTGGGGCAGAGGGAAGCGCAGCCCGTTCCACCGAGTTCAGCGGGATAACTGCGCTTAGCGGGAGCCCTTGCCTTGTAGCGGGCGCTGGTTTTCTTTCTGTGCCCGGGCGGTCGCTGGTTCTCCAGCCAGGAGCACCCTCCCGCGTTGGCCAGCCCTGGCGCTGGGTGGGACCCGTGCCTGGATCCCTGGAGCTCCGCACCTGGGCTTCGGGAGGAGACAGCGCAAGGGGGCTAAAGGGCCCGCTCGTTTCTGTCTTCTCCTCCCGAAGTCCCGTGTCACCTACCGACTGGCGTTTTCCTTGTGGCCCCGCACCCGACGGGTCCAGGTTTCTCCCTGCAGCAGTTCCTAAGGCGCTGTCTTCCGTCCCCCTTCTTCCCCCTACCAAGCCCTCAGCTTCCCCACATCGACCTCCGCAGGGATGGGCGCGAACCCGGCTCCCCTGGCACTTACACGTGGCCACAGCGGGTCCGGACAGGCCGGTGTAACACCTCAAGGCATACGGAGCAGTCGAAGGACGTGACGGGCAACTCCGGGTCCCCCCTGTGCTCCAGGGCCCGCGGGGTGGCAGAGGCGGGCGCCGACTTGCCGCTGTCGCTGCTCAGCACAGAGCCCATCGCTGTGCCTCTCGCTCGCCCGGACAGCTGCCAAGCGCTCAGTGCCTGCTGCAAGGTTGTTTTGTTGCCGTGCGCTGGAGGAAGGAAGTCCCAGCCCAGCTGCGATCGCCGCCTCCCAGCGCACCCAGTTCGCGCAGCCCAGAAGCAGCCTCAGCCGCTGCGCCCAACCCTGGTCTAGGGCAGGGCGAGTGCGCGGCGGCGGGGCTGAAATCTGCAGGCTGCCGGGGTTGAGGCGCGGAGGCGGAGGCGGAGGCGGAGGCGGCGGCCGCCGGGTGCTCGCTGCACTGTCTTGTGGTATTGGGAGGATTGAAACCTGAAACCTCAACTGCAGAAAAGAGGATTGAGGCAGTAGTAAACCTTCCAAGCTGTCACCCACACAACCTCTTTCCCCACAGTCAGAAGTTAAGGGCGGGCGTGGCCATGCTTAATGCTGATCAGAGAACAGCCGCTTGAAAGGTGATGGATAGGACCATCCTCCACGGTTGAAATCACAATAAGCTGCAAAGATGGCCTATGATCTATGACTGGGCGTCTCCTAAGACTGTGCTATCAATACTTTGTCATCCAGTCAATAGTCCATCAATGGAGAGATAGCACGGGCAGTGGAAAGAGTTCTGGAGATTTGGATTCCAATCCTGCCTCTCGTACAGAGTCTAGTGCTAAACGCTGCCATCTCCAGTTTCCTCTGCGGCTCAGGATTTCCTCTGTTGTTTGTACTCTCCCCACCCCGCCCTTTAAACTTGATCAGCTGCGCTCAGTGACCCCGGCCTGTAATCCCAGCACTTTGGAAGTCCGAGGCGGTTGGATCGCTTGTGGTCAGAGTTCGAGATCAACCTGGCCAACGTGGTAGAACTCCGTCTCTACTAATAATATAAAAAGTCGCCGGGCATTAATTCACACGTTTTACGAAGACTTATTTAGTGCCCACTGCATGCCAGACCCTGTTCTGATGATAAAGACACAATTGTCAACAAGCAAATAAAACCCCAGTTCTCACAGAACTTACTTTAAAAAACAAAAACAAAACTTTATTTTGAGATAATTGTAGATTTGCGTAGAGTTGCAAAAATAGCACATAGTATATAATACACATATACAATAATACATAACACATGGGATATAATAACATATAATACATACATGTACTTAACAGCCCATAAATTTCACCCAGTTTACCCCAGACTTTACTTTTTATTATTATTATTATTATAATACTTTAAATTCTGGGATACATGTGCAGAATGTGCAGTCTTGTTACATAGGCATACACGTGCCATGATGGTTTGCTGCACACATCAATCCATCATCTACATTAGGTATTTCTCCTAATGCTATCCCTACCCAGCCCCTCACCCTCCAACAGGCCCTGGTGTGTGATGTTCCGTTCTCACTGTTCAACTCCCACTTATGAGTGAGAACAAGTGGTGTTTGGTTTTCTGTTTCTGTGTTAGTTTGCCAAGAATGATGGCTTCCAGTTTCATCCATGTCCCTGCAAAGGGCATGAACTCATCCTTTTTTATGGCTGCATAATATTCCACGGTGGATTTGGGCTACATTTTCTTTATACAGTCTATCACTGATGGGTATTTGGATTGCTTTCAAGTCTTTGCTATGGTGAACAGTGCTGCAATAAACATACATGTGCATGTGTTTTTATAGTATAATGATTTATAATCCTTTGGGTATATACCCAGTAATGGAATTGTTGGTTCTAGATCCTTGAGGAATTGCCACACTCACACTTTACTTTTGATTAAGAGATATAGGCCGGGTACTGTGGCTCACACCTGTAATCTCAGCACTTTGGGAGGCTGAGGTGAGAGATCATTTGATCACAGGAGCCAATATCATGCTACTGCACTCCATCCTGTGCAACAGAGCAAGATCCTGTCTCAAAAAACAAACCAAGCTGGGGCAGTTGCTCACGCCTGTAATCCTAGCACTTTGGGAGGCCGAGGAGGGCAGATCATATGAAGTCAGTATGAGACCAGCCTGACCAACATGGTAAAACCCTGTCTCTACTAAAAATACAAAAGTTAGCTGGGTGTGAGCTACTTGGGAGGCTGAGGCACAAGTATCGCTTGAACCTGGGAGATGGAGGCTGTAGTGAGTTGAGATCATACCACTGCACTCCAGTGTGAGTGACAGAGTCAAATGACAACAACAATGACAACAAAACCCCAAAAACAAACAAAAGGAAGATCTAAGTAATCAATCAATACATTTATTTATTAATAAATGAATAAATAAAATTTTGTTCATTAATAAATGAACAAAATCATTTCAGGTAATCAGAACCACAAAGAAGATAAAACAGTGAATGACAATGGGGAGAAGGATAAGCTCAGAGAAGACTTTTTGGATGAAGTGACATTTGAGCAAAGCCATGAATAATGAGAAGAAATGAGCCATTCATAGATTTAGGGAAAAGCGTGGCAAGCATTGGGAACAGCGAATGAGGCAGGATCAAAGGAAAGAAAGATTTGTGGGGCTGGAGCATCAGGTCGTGGGGGCTGGGGGGTATGGTGAGGAGATAAGATGAAATGATAGCTATTTTCAAAAGGAAATAAAAATCCTCTTTTCATCCCACTTATGCCTCAACTCCTGCCCCATATCCCCTTCAAGGCCAAATCTCTTGATCTGATTCTGCACATTTTGTCATCATTTCTCAATTATTCACTTCTTATTCAGTCTCGTCTGGGTTCTGAACCAACATCTCCACCTCCATCTGTCGAAAAACTGCTTTATTATCGGTGTCACTGGTGACGTTCATGTGACTAATTCCAATAGATTCTTTTCAGCTACGTTTTTGCTTGACCCCTTGACTGTGTTTGTCAGTGCTGACCATTCCCTCCTGGAAACGCTTTGACTTCCCTTCTTTCTTGCTGGCTGTTGTTTCTCTGCCTTCTTTGCTGGAGTCTCTTTCTCCACTGGCTCTGGGCTGGAGAGCCTAGGATTCTGTCTTAGGACCTTTTCCCTTCTCATTTCTCTTTCTTTCTCTTAAAAATCACATAGGTTCTGTTATACTTTTGTTCCAAAGACTTTCACATCTTTATCTCCACCCCAGGCCATTCAAATGCTCAACAGCCTAATAGCTTACATGATAGACATTTGACATAGACATCCTCAGCCCAATGTGTCTAATAATGAACTCATTACAGTAGCCACCACCTCTCCTCCTCCAGTGGTTGTGTTAGCAAATGGTACTATGATCCACTTTATATCTCAGTCTAGACACCTGGAAGTCATCCTTGATTTCTTCTTCTTCCTCATTCACATCGAATCAATCACAATCACAATTCTGCCTCCAATATGAATCTCAGTAGTTTTATTTTGTTTTTGAGACAGAGTCTCTCTCTGTTGCCCAGGCTGGAGTGCAGTATCACCACCTTAGCTCACTGCAACGTCTGCCTCCTGGATTCAAACGATTGTCCTGCCTCAGCCTCCCGAGTACCTGGGACTACAGGCATGCACCACCATACCTGGCTAATTTTTTTGTGTTTTTAGTAGAGACGGGTTACACCATGTTGGCCAGGTTGGTCTCGAACTCCTCAGCTCATGATCTGCCTGCCTTGGCCTCCCAAAATGCTGGGATTACAGGCATGAGCCACCGCACTCATTTTCTTCTATTTCCATAGCCACTGCTTATTTTAAATCACTGCATTGTCTTGAGTGACTTATGGCAATAGTTCCTAACTGCTCTACCTGCACCATCATTGCCACTCTCCAGTTTATTATCCACATGGCAACTAAAGTGATCTTTTGAAAAGCAAACATCTTGTGTCACCCCATGCACAAAGTCCTTTAATAGCTCTCCTAATCCTTAGGATTAAATTCTAAATCCTTAATATTATCTAAAAAGTCCTGCAAGACCTTACTCTTAAATAACTATAATCAGTTAAGATACCTTTGCTGGTAGGAAACAGAAATTCAACTAAAAGTGCCTCATTCAATAAGGATACTTATTACCGCCTGGCTTGGTGGTCCACACCTGTAATCTCAACACTTTGGGAGACCGAGGCGGGCAGATCACTTGACATCAGGAGTTTGAGACCAGCCTGGCCAACATGGTGAAACCCCTTCTCTACCAAAAATAGAAAAATTAGTTGGGTGTGGTGGCACGCACTTGTAATCCTGGCTACTCAGGAGGCTGAGGTAGGAGAATTGCTTGACCCTGGCAGGTGGAGGTTGCAGTGAGCCAAGATTGCACCACTGCACTCCAGCCTGGGTCAACGGATCAAGACTCTGTCTCAAAAAAAAAAAAAAGGTATTTATTATTTGAATATGGTAAATTAGTCCAGGGGCAAACAGTTCCAGCGATGGCTCAGCAGCTCAACGATGTCCTCAAAGCCTCAGCCCCTTGCCACCCTCAGCGTGTCTCCCTTACGGCTGAAACAGTCTCCTCTATACACAATCTCCAAAAACAAAAAGGAAAGGGTAAGATTTTAGCTCTCCTAGAGGCCTTTTAGCTCTCCTAGAGGCCTTTTCTGCAGACTTCCCTTCCTATCTCATTGGTTAAAACTGGACACAATTGCCATCCTAGATCAGTCACTAGCAAAAGAGAATGGAAACACTCTGATTGGCTTAAATTCATTATTTATTCCATAGGGCCTGGCACTTCAGCTCTCTGAAACAACATAAATAGGGTTCTTATACCAAGAAAGGATATGAAACAACCGGATAGACTAACAGTAAGGTCTCCCAAAATAACTATTTGGGGTCTTAGCTGCTATCACTCTCCTCCTATTTTTCATGCTACTAAATCTCTCTACTTATTTGAATTCCTTGAGTGTGTTATCTCTGACCTCAAGGTCTTTATCCATGCTATCATTTTTCTCTTGGTCTTAACACTTCCTATCCAACATTCTTCCGTTCTGATCCAAATTTCGGATCTTAGTTTGGATACATTCCCTTCCTTCCTCTCTCCCTCCCTCTCTCTTTCTCTCTCTCTCTTTCTTTCTTTCTCTTTTTCTTTCTTTCTTCCTTCTTTCTTTTTTTTTTTTTTCTTTAGTAGAGACGGGGTTTTACCATGTTGGCCAGGATGGTCTCGATCTCTTGACCTCGTGATCTGCCCACCTCAGCCTCCCAAAGTGCTGGGATTACAGGCATGAGCCACCACGTCCGGCCTCTTTCTTTTGTTTTTCTTTTTCTTTCTTTCTCTCTCTCTTTCTTTCTTTCTTCTTTTTTTTTTTTTTTAGTAGAGACGGGGTTTCACCATGTTGGCCAGGATGGTCTCGATCTCTTGACCTCGTGATCTGCCCACCTCGGCCTCCCAAAGTGCTGGGATTATAGGCGTGAGCCACCACGTCTGGCCTCTTTCTTTCTTTCATCTTTCTTTTTCTTTCTTTCTTCCCTCCCTCCCTCCTTCCTTCCTTCCTTCTTTCCTTCCTTCCTTCCTTCTCTTGCTCTGCTGTCCAGGCTGGAGTGCACTGGTGCCATCACAGCTCACTGCTGCAGCCTCTACCTTATGGGCTCAAACAGTCCTCCCACCTCAGCTTTCTGAGTAGCTGGGACCACAGTCATGTGCGGCCACACTCAGCTAACGTTTATATTTTTTGTACAGATACTGTCCTGATATGCTGCCCAAACTGATTGTAAACTCCTGAGCTCAAGCAATTTTCCTGCCTTGGTCTCTAGAAGTACTGGGATTATAGGCATGAGCCACCATGCCTGGCCTTGGAAACCTTTCTACATTGCATTCATTTCATACTATCTTCTTAGTTTT